ACCTCCCCAGTTCTCTATGCTGAAGAGTCCGCTCAAGTTGTGAGCAACATAGGGGGCGATCTTTTTGAGATCGTGGGTTCGCACACGAGTGGCCAGCAGTGACTGGTGGGCATCCCTGAAGGTCGTGTCCATCAGCAGCAGCCCCTGGTGGTTCCGAACAGCTCGAGCAAAGCCCTCGGGCCCCTCCCGCAGCAGGATGTCTCTGAAACCAGCCGGAGGGGGGCCTAGGGCAGACCTGGGCATTAGCACCCATCCTTCAGACAGCAACCTCCTCTCTGTCTCCCCCACAAGTTGGCAGAACGAATCTCACCCACCTATGGGCACCGCAGGGACGATGGGGTCTGTGGGGCTGGGACTGGCCTTGACTGGGATCGGGGTGGTTGGGCCATTCACCATGACATGACCTACGGAGAGAGTGGGAAGTGGGGTCAGGACAGGCTGGGGAGAGTCTTGCGTCGAGGGCAGGAGTAACATTAGATGGGCCTGGGCAGGAGAGGTTCCTCCGGGATCCCCAGTCCCTTAGTTAGCCCTTGTCCTCGCCAAAGCCAAGGCTCCCGGGTCCAGGCAGTGGCAACCTACTGAGAGCCACATGGGGGGACGAGGGGGCATCCCTGGGATCAGGAGCAAGAAGGGTGAGCAAAGCGGAGGGTGCGGGACCAGAGCGAGGGCAGGGGCAGGGCATGCTAGGGAGCTCTTCCAGGCAGACGGCCAGGAGCAAGGCAGGTGAGAGAGGAGAGAGGGCGGTGGGGCCAGACCGAGGTAGTGCAGCAGCTTCTGGGCCCGGTTCTGTGCGGGCCGCAGCTGGAATAGCTCCGGGTTCTCATCGATGAACTGGGTGTCCACGGTGCCTGCCAGGAACTGCTGGTTGTTGAGCACATTCTGCAGGAAGGGGATGTTGGTCTGCAGAGTAGAGGTGGGTGGGAGGGTGTCACCGTGGAGCATGGATGGGGGAAGGACAGGCTGAAGGCGCCACCCTGGGCCAGCACAGCTCCCCAAGTTCCCCAGAATACTATGCTGAGGTCTGAGGCCTCCCTGTGGAATGACATTTAGCCATCTCACCAGCCCCCTATTTTGACAGACTCCCTTAAGCTGTTATGGGGCTGAACCCACTTCCTCCCCCCTTGCTCACCCCAGAGCGTGTGCTAAATCACCTCCTCCTCCCTCAGGGATCTGGAAATAGGCACCTTCCCACCACACAGTCTAGAAAACAGGTCAGGCCTTTCCCATAGCACCATGACATAATGTGCAGCCACGCTCACCTTCCCAGCCATGTTTCTTGAAACATGTCTCTACCTTTGTCAGCCCCCTCCTCTACCACCCCCCTCCCCACCGCCACACTGGCATCCTCACTCAGGGCCATCCCTGTGGCTAGCTCCTGCGGGCCCTTCCCCACCTTTCGCTCGCTAACAGCTCCCACCTGGACATTCTTGCCCTGGGCTTCCAAGACATCTTGCTCTCCTTCTCCTCCCCGGTCCCCACTGGGGGCTCCTCTCACCCCTGCAGGATGGAGTTCTCAGAGCTGTCACTGGGCCGCTTCACATACAGGACACTCTCCCTGGGTGGCCTCATCCTGGGCTTCCAGCTCCAGAGCCAAGACCCTAAAGTGGAAATCCCTCCTGGGCACCTCTCCTTGTGTGGCCCTCACACAAGCTCACCAAGTCCAAAGTCGGCTTCCCTCACCCAGTGCTCTCCCTTCTGCTGCACGCCTCACTGTCCACCCAGTTACCCAAACCTACACTCCATCACCCTCAATACCCGCTCCTGTCACTGGGCCAGGCCAGACGCTTCTACCATGGCCATCTCAGGACTCTGTGATTCCTGGTCTCCAGGCCATGCCGTCGGCCAGGTTTCCAAGTCATGGCTGCCTCCGGCCACACCAACCTTGCCTTGTGCTCTCGCCTCCACCCCTTAAAAAAACCTGCCTGGTAAGCTCTTCCTGGAAGTCTGAACTTGAAAGCCTTTGTACCTCCCACCCTCACAACAGAGCTGGACCCTCCCCTTTCTAGTAAGTAGGCTTCTGTGGGATCAGCTGTCGGAGAGCACCTGCCTTGTCCTCAGCTTTCACTTGTCTGCATTCTTCATACACCTGGGGGCACTTAGGGGGCAGGGGTGCCGAGGTATATATCCACATGCTTTTTGCACAAGGGCCCTCATTTCTGTCATTTAACTGCTAGGTGACAGCATGAGGCCGGAGCAGGGCAAGTCCAACCTAGAGGCCACGTGGGGCCTAGGAGCCAGCACTGCCAGCCCCATGACTGCCAGACCACGGGTGGAATCCCAGTGTGCAAGTGCCCGTGCCCACATGGCTGTCACTTCAGATACGGCATCTCTGTGTCACCCATTCATGACTTCTGTTCAGGGCAACTTCAGTGGGGACTCCAGGCCCAGCATGGGTTGCTAGGCCCTGTGGCTGCTCTCAAGAAACCCTACCCACCCGCCCTAGCGTTCCTGTGACCTGAAGCCTCCCTCAGTCACTGCAGAGCAGGACTCAGCCAACACTGCCTCGTGCGTGTCTGGCGTGACATGTCTGCCTATCAGTCCTGACACTAGTCCCTGCCCCTCCTAAAGAAATGGGTACATTTCAACTGGACCAAAGCACAGCATTTGAGACGATAAAACTAACTGAATCATCTAAAGAACCTAGAACCACCACACAGGGGCGGGAGGGACCGCAGAGGCCTGCCCTTGTCAGTTCTGCACTTCCCATTCGCAGGCCTCTCCTCTTCTTAATTTTAGGAGAGCTGTCACGTGACCCTCTGTATACCCTGAGCTCCATGGGGGGCAGGAGCTAGGCCCACCCGGTTCCTGATGTGCCCCAGCTCCCAGCATAGAGTGGCTTGTGATGGGCGCTGGTAGACTTGTACGCTTAAGAGCGAATGAAAACATTCTTGCAGGGGAAAAGAGGAGCATCAATACCAACACTACAGAGCATCAGAGTTGACCTGGGCCAGAATCCACTGCCTGCCTTTCACAAGTGCAACAGCTGAGGCCCTAGAAGTGGCAACAGTTAAGACGGACTTCCAGTTACCCTGGAAGGGTAGGGAGGCTACACCACCTCCCCGTCCCCCCCACCCCCACAGGGTACATCGTCTCTCCTGTCAGCCCTATGAAGTACAGCAGTTAATACCCCCCTGCCCTAGATGAGTAGTGTTTCAGTGGTTAAAATAACTTGCCAAAGGTTACGTGCTCTACCAGGCGGAATCAGAATTCCAGGTTTACCGAGGTGGGGGGTGGACTGCCCCCTCCCCAAACTAAGTCTAGAGAGAAGGGAAAGGGATGGGCGTGACGGGTGTCCAGGTAGCCCGAGGACCAGGAGACAACGTGGAGGAAGTGGCCACTTCCCTGGTTTCCTGAAGGACCAGAGCGCCCAGCCTGGTTCCGAGCACTCCGTGCTCCCACCGAAGCGAAGCCGGGAACTCTCCCCCCACCGAGAGCTCTTCCTCAGCTGAGCCGAGCTCACCCCGGGCCGCTCTCCGGGAAATCGGCCCGGCAGGGGTGGAAGGGGGAAGGCAGGCCTGCCGGCTCAACGAGGCCCGCTGACGCGCAGCTTCAAACAGCGTGCCGCCGCGGGCCTGCTGGGAAACGGCGCAGCACAGACCAATCGGGCCGGAGGCGGAGACCGGTTGGCTCCCGAGCGTGCCGGGCGGGGCGGGGAGCCCAAGAAGGGGAGGGAGGGGCGGGGCACGGCGCCAGCCCGGAGGCCGAGCCCTCTCCGCCCCACCCCGCGGCAGGCCTGCCGGGGGCGTCGCCCCAGCCCCTCACCCCCACCCCAGGCCCCGTGCCTGTTGGGGACCCTCCACGTGACTCGGTGATGCAGAACGGTTGTGACCTTCAGCGTGTGTCTGTGAGGGTCCCAACAACAGTGCGGGTTTGCGCTCGGCCCTGCCTGTGGGTGCGGGGACGTGTGGGTGTGTGGGCATGTGTGGGTGTGTTGGGGAGGGTGCCCAGCGACATGTGACAAAGGCTCCCGTCTCCGGGAGATGGTGAAGGGGCCCGCGAGCTGGCGCTTTGTCTGGCTGTCTGCAGAGTGACGGTTCGCGCAGCGGCGGCGGGAGCCCGTGCGGTGCAGGATGCCGGGGCGCCAGGGTGGCCGGGGGCGCGCGCGCCCGTGCCACGGTGAGTGCGCTGCGGCAGCGCCGGGGGACTGCGCGGCGGGCCCGCGCCGGCCCGGGCCTCGGGCGTGACCGGGAGCCACCCGTGGGCGCTGCAGTGGCCGCGTGTCCCCGTGACCTCGGGAGCCAGCCGGCCCGGGTGGATCCCCGTGCGCCCCTCCCCGTCCGCCCTCCACGTGCGTGTCCGCGGAGCGCGTGCTCGCCGGCGCGCACCCGCCTGCCTGTCGCCGCCGCCGCCGCCGCCGCCGCCGCCGCCGCCGCGAGCCGCCGGGAATAGGTGCCGGGAACCGAGTGAGCCGGGGCCGCGGGCCCGAGCGCCATGGGCTGGAGGGCGCGCGGCGGGCGGCCGGTCAGCCCGTGGCCTCGCCCCCGCGGGAGAGCCGCCTGGAGTCGGCGGGGGCTGGCCAGGCCCAAGGGGAGGCCGGCCCGCGCCCCCTGAGCTACAGACCCCAGGTGAGGGGGCTGCGGGGCACAACGGTGGTGGCTGGCCAGGGAGGGGCGCCGGGCCAAGGGAGGGGCTTGGGGGGGGTGCCTTCCCTGTCGGGGGGAAGGGATGGCGCGGAGGGAGGGGGCTGGCGATTCCTGGAGATGCCAGAGAAAGGAAGTTCCGGGACCCTCCCTGCTCTAGTGCCCACCTCCGCTTCCTGCCTCATGCTGCACCTCGTCCCCATGCCCAGGACCCCCCTACCTGCTTGGGAAATGTGACCTTTACTCTGGGGGGCCTGGCAGGCCCCAGCCTTCCTTCATCCCTGGGGGGGCCCTCCGGGCCTCTGACCCTGATCCCCACCCAGGCCAGGCTCCAGAAGCTGGTCCTGGGGACTGGGCCTCGGGCACAGTGGGCACCTGCCCCAGCCCCACCTGTGCCTGGGCTGTGGCCCTTCCCTACAGGGCGCTCACCATGGCCCCGCCACTCCTGCTGCTGCTGCTGGCCAGTGGAGCGGCCGCCTGCCCGCTGCCCTGTGTCTGCCAGAACCTGTCCGAATCGCTCAGCACCCTCTGTGCCCACCGAGGCCTGCTGTTTGTGCCACCCAACGTGGACCGCCGCACCGTGGAGCTGCGGCTGGCTGACAACTTCATCCAGGCCTTGGGGCCGCCAGACTTTCGGAACATGACGGGGCTGGTGGACCTGACACTTTCCCGGAATGCCATCACCCGCATCGGGGCCCGCGCTTTTGGGGACCTGGAGAGCCTGCGTTCCCTGCATCTGGACGGGAACAGGCTGGTTGAGCTGGGCACCGGCAGCCTGCGGGGCCCCGTCAACCTGCAGCACCTCATCCTCAGTGGCAACCAGCTGGGTCGAATCTCGCCCGGGGCCTTCGACGACTTCCTGGACAGCCTGGAGGACCTGGACTTGTCCTACAATAACCTGCGGCAGGTGCCCTGGGCCGGCATCGGTGCCATGCCTGCCCTGCACACCCTCAACCTGGACCACAACCTCATCGACGCACTGCCCCCGGGCGCCTTCGCCCAGCTCAGCCAGCTCTCCCGCCTCGACCTCACGTCCAACCGCCTGGCCACGCTGGCGCCAGACCCGCTCTTCTCCCGGGGGCGCGACGCGGAGGCCTCCCCCGCCCCCCTGGTGCTGAGCTTCAGCGGGAACCCCCTGCACTGCAACTGTGAGCTGCTGTGGCTGCGGAGGCTGGCGCGGCCCGACGACCTGGAGACGTGCGCCTCCCCGCCGGGCCTGGCTGGCCGCTACTTCTGGGCAGTGCCCGAGGGCGAGTTCTCCTGCGAGCCGCCCCTCATTGCCCGCCACACGCAGCGCCTCTGGGTGCTGGAGGGCCAGCGGGCCACTCTGAGATGCCGAGCCCTCGGTGACCCTGCGCCCACCATGCACTGGGTCGGGCCCGATGACCGCCTGGTCGGCAACTCCTCCCGAGCCCGGGCTTTCCCCAACGGGACCCTGGAGATCGGGGTGACGGGCTCTGGGGACGCGGGGGGCTACACCTGCATCGCCACCAACCCTGCCGGGGAGGCCACGGCCCGTGTGGAGCTACGGGTGCTGGCCTTGCCCCACGGTGGGAACGGCAGTGCTGAGGGGGGCCGCCCAGGGCCCTCGGACATTGCCGCCTCGGCCCGCACTGCTGCCGAGGGCGAGGGGACACTGGAGTCTGAGCCAGCTGTGCAGGTGACAGAGGTGACTGCAACCTCAGGGCTGGTGAGCTGGGGGCCAGGGCGGCCAGCCGACCCCGTGTGGATGTTCCAAATCCAGTATAACAGCAGCGAAGACGAGACCCTCATCTACCGGTGAGGATGCACTTTGCCGCCCGCAGCCCCAGCTTGGCCCCTGGCTGCCCTCTGAGCCCCTCTCCCTCCCTCCAGCACTCACCAGCTCTCACACACCCCTCCTCAGCTTCTGGGGGCGGGGGCAGGCACCAGGGAGAGGGGAGCGCCCCACGAGAAGTCTCTCAGCGTGGCTGACAAGAGTACAGGCTTCCCGGGGTTTGGTCTCCGTTCAAGCGCACGAGCCTGGGCTGCACACACGTGTTGTTTCGGGCTCCGGCGGTGTGATTCTGCACCACCTCCTTGCCTTGCCCCGGGCTTGTCCTCAGCACACACACACCTGTCTGTCCCCTCGCACTGTCCCCGGTTGCAAAACTGCATGCCTGTCTTGGTGCCTCTGCCTTCCTGAGTAAACAAACCAGGCCCGTGGGGTCCTAGGGGAGGGGAGTCTTCAGAGCTGGGACCCAGGAGCATGCAGTGAGGGTGGGGGGTGGATGGTGAAGGGGCCTCGGAGGCCATGTGGGGCGGGGGTCAGAGCCTGGACCTGGCCTCTGACCACCCATCCTTGCCCGTAGGATCGTCCCGGCCTCCAGCCACCACTTCCTGCTGAAGCATCTAGTCCCTGGTGCCGACTATGACCTCTGCCTGCTGGCCCTGTCACCGGCCGCTGGGCCTTCCGACCTCACGGCCACCAGGCTGCTGGGCTGTGCCCACTTCTCCACGCTACCGGCTGCACCCCTGTGCCACGCCCTGCAGGCCCACGTGCTGGGCGGGACCCTGACCGTGGCCGTGGGGGGTGTGCTGGTGGCTGCCTTACTGGTCTTCACTGTGGCCTTGCTGGTTCGGGGCCGGGGAGCCGGGAATGGCCGCCTCCCCCTCAAGCTTAGCCACGTCCAGTCCCAGACCAATGGAGGCCCCAGCCCCACGCCCAAGGCCCACCCGCCGCGGAGCCCACCGCCTCGGCCCCAGCGCAGCTGCTCCCTGGACCTGGGAGACGCCGGCGGGTGCTACGGTTACGCCAGGCGCCTCGGAGGAGCCTGGGCCCGACGGAGCCACTCTGTGCATGGGGGGCTGCTCGGGGCGGGGTGCCGGGGGGTGGGGGGCAGCACGGAGCAGCTGGAAGAGAGTGTGGTGTGAAGGGAACCCAGGGCAGGCTGGGAAGGGGCAGAGGGTGTGGGGCGGGCAGCCGCTGGGCCTGGTGGGTCGGCACTGCCTGGGAGTCCCTCCTGATTTTACCCGCGGTACCTCAGGGCCCCGCTGTGCTTGGCCGGACAGGGGGCCCTCTCCCTGGTTCTGGCCTCCAGACCTGCGTTCCGCCGACAGGTGCTCACAGCCACCGAGGCAGGGGCTGCACCAACCGAGCAGAAATCTTGTTTTTCTTTATAATAAAATTATTGGGTACACCTCAGCGCTAGCCTGGTCTCGTCCTGCTAGGCCCCCTGAGGGGAGGGGGACACGTGCACCGGCAGACGGGACAGGGACAGGGTCAGGCCTGCGGCTGCCAGCCCCACACAGGCGGTGCGAACGGCCGGAGCCTCAGCCGCCCGACAGCAGCGTGCTTGGGTCAGGTGCCTCCTATCCCAGGTGAGCCTGGGCCCAGCCTCTAGAGAGTTGGGGGGGGGGAGGCCCTGAGCCCCCGGCGCCCTGTTCTTGCATCTGTAAGGACAGAGAACACTCTCACTGGCAGGACGTGGACAAGATGTGGCATCCTCATGGAGGCATGCATGTCACAACACACAGTGGCAACAGGGGCCCGGAGGACACGGCACAGCCCTTCAGGCCAAAGAGACCTGCACCGGCAACGTTCTTAACTCCGCAGGAAAGTCCCCCGTGGCTCCCGTCAGGGACAGCCTCACTCGCCATCTCCCTGGGCAGCTTCTGGATTTGTAAACTATCATCCCAGAGGCCCTAGAAGAGCCTTGGAATCCCACTGCCCTGCTCTCAGCCCAAGACCTTCTGGAAGGTGCTGTCAGTGCTATAGGCCCTGAGCTCCCAGCTGCTCCGCTCATGTGCCCCGTGGCTTTGCCCCGGGCTTGGCCAGAAAGACTGAGTCAAACCCTCACTGGACCCTAGAGGGGCAGACACCGAGGGGTGCCTACTGCCCCACCTGCGTTCCCCCCTCCAAGGAGCCCCAGTGCGCGGTGGGGGCCGTGCCTGCCCTGCTCTGCCTCCTCTCCGCCCAAGATCCCTGCCAGCCACCGGCTCCAGGCACGGGCTCTGCCCGCCTTCTGAGCGGTCACGGCTCCCGAGCATCGGCTGGGAGGAAATCTGCGCCCCAGATGCAAATACCTGCCGACGGGTGGCTCTTCCCCCTGCCCCGGGCGCCCCCCACGCTTCAAGAACACGCAGGCGCCCGGGCCCCACTGTGGACGGCCTGTGTCGGTGCCCGGCCCGTGGCTCTGCGTGCGGCCCGCCGTGGCTCCAGTGGGCACCGGGGAGAACTGGCACAAGAAGTGTGTGCGCGCGTGTGCCGGCCAAGCTCGCGCGCTTGTGGGTTTGCAGTGTCGACACGCACGTGTGCCTGCCCTCCCAGCCCCAGAACACGTACCTGGAGGTGGCCCGAGAGAGATCCTGGTTTAAATAAATGAAACAGAAGAGCAGGAGAGCCTGAGCCCTCCCGGGGGCCGCGGACCGAAGGCAGGGACGGGCCAAGGGCCCAGGGCGAAGGAGCAGTGAGGGGGCAGGGCGGGGCTCGCGGGAGGCTCTGCACCGGGCGGGAGCACACTTCGGGAGGCCCCTGCGGCCCCGGGGAGCCAGGAACACGCGCCCCACCGTCCTCCCCGGGGGCCCCCGGCCCCGGTCTCCCTCGTCCACCCTCACGGCTCTAAGGCAGCAGGTGCTCGTGAGCCCGCCAGGCCGCGGGACAGGTCAGGATCCCGTGGCCCAGGGGCCAGTCAGGGTCACCGATAAGGACAAAACAGAGCACCCAGGGCGGGCGAGGGTGGCAGAGCCAGGCCCACACTAGGGTCAGGGGGTCACCGGCCACCCACCCCCAAGAGCAGCCCCAGGACACCGTGTTTGGGGAAACCAAGGCCCCTCGGGAGCAGCCTGGACACATGACATCCCAACACGTCTCTGTTCGCGTTCAGGAAGCGGTCCCCAGACCCGAGGCCCCAAGGCTTCCCCTGGAACCCCCGAAGCCATTCCCTCTGAGGGGCGCCGAGGGCCTGAGGGGAAACAGCTGACCAAGCGCCGGCCCCACAGGCTCCCTTCCTCCCTCTTCCCTCCCAAGAGCCTTCTCAAAAGGCTGCTGCAGCCACCAGGGCCGCTGCCACAGCTGAGGGGGCCGTCACAGGGCACCGAGAGAGGATGGGGCTGCTCACGGGGCCTGACGCTGGGGCCGAGCCTGGACCCCGGACAGGACTGGAGGCAGCCAAGAGGGAGGGGAAGGTGACAGAGGGGCCGCCAGCCAGTGCCCCAGCACGACCCCTCCACACCCCGCCACCGCCATGCATGGCAGGCCAGGGAGGGCGTCCTCCGCACTGGGCGCCTCCGTCTGGAGTCCCAGGAGCCAGGCCGGGCAGCGCGACCCGCTGAGGGCAGAGCCCTTCCTCCCAGAGTGTCCAATGCAGCACGTGCCCGGGGGATGCTCACGGACGTGGCAGCGGCGCCGGCCTCACGGACAAGGCGGTATGTGGCTGAGATTTCATGTCTGGCTACAGACACGAGTAACCAAGAGGCCAACGAGCATTTCGGGTCCTGGCCCGGCGCCCTGAGGGGGCCCCTTGCCTCCCTCTGCCTCCTCCCTCACCCCCAAGCGCAGCCTCCCTTCCTGGCTGTCCCTAAAGCACCCAACGTGATGCACAAGCCAGGCCCAGGGAAGGGGCAGTGAGGGCGGGCAGGGGTGTCACTGTATGCCGAGTGACCTCATCCACACAGGCTTGTGCTCTCACCCAGGGCTTTCCTGGGCCTGAGAATTACCTGGAGAACTTGTTCAAAACGTAGGCTCTGAGGACCCCACCCAAACCTGTGGGATCAGAATTTCCAGAAGGGAGGCCTGTGATTTGTGGATGGAACACACCCTCCGGGGAACCTCGCCTAAGAGGGGCGGGAAGGAGTGTGGGGCGCCCGGAGAAAGGCTCCCGGCTGCGGCCAGCGCGCCCCTAAGCACCTGAGGAGCCCGGGCCCGGCACGACTGTGAGCGACCGGAAGGCAGGCAGAGCCCACAGCCTCTCACCTTTACGCCTCGGACTCGGAACTCAGCAAGGGCTCTGCTCATCTTGGTGGCAGCCGTGGGGTGGTCTTTGCCGTGGGCGATGACTTTGACCAGCAGGGAGTCATAGTGTGGGGAGATGACGGCCCCTTGGAAGGCAGACGCGTTATCCAGGCGGATGCCCATGCCCTCCCCGCTCCGGAACACCTGCGGGCGGAGGGGAGCAGAGTCAGGACCTGGGTCGGAAGCGGGAGTCAAGATGCGGCCCCCCCGCCCAGGAGGGACGAGCGTGGCTGCGGCAGGGCGCCGGGCCTGGCACCAGGGCACCACGGGGCGGCCCCGTCTCCGGCTTGCGGAGTTCTGCCTCCCTTCCGCCGGCAAACCCAGGGGCATCCCGCCTGCTCCGGGTGCCACAGCCACGCCGTCCTCCTCCCTGAGGGGGGCTGGCAGGGGAAGGGGCGGGACGGCGTACAGGGCCGCACGCGCAGTGCTCAGGGCCGAGCAGGGCCCAGCAGGGTGCGGAGAGGGGCCCCGGGCAAGCAGGGGCCAGATCCCACCGACTTTCCACCCGGCTGCCCGGCCAGCTCTCACGCCTTGCGGATTTATCCCACAGGCATTTGCGCCCACCATGTGCCAGGCACCGGGGCGAGCAGCTCAGAGTCCCTGCTCACAGGGGGCTCCCAGCTTGCTGGGCGAGGGGACGGGCTGTTGACCAGGACGCTGCAGGCCAAGAGCCCGGGGACAGAGAAGGCAGGCCAAGGGGTTTTGATTTAACAAGAGGTGATGGGGAAGGCCTCAGTGTCCCCCGCCCCCATTTTCTCTTCCTTCCAAAACGGGAGAAGGGGAGGGAGAGGGAGAGGCGGCAGAGGAGCAGGCGGCCAGACAGGAAACACGCGGAGGGAGGACGGAACGTGAGTTTGCAGGAAAGCCTGCGCGGCCTGCATGCCCGGACGGGTCACAGAGGCGGACTCGTGGGCAGGGGCATGGAGGCTTCAGATCAACAGGTGGATGGAGACAGGGTCCTGGGGCGACAGAGGCTCGGGGCGTCTGGGGTAACTAGTGCCCGCAGGCACATCCGTGATGGGGACAGGGATGCGTTCCTGCAGGGAGAACGGACGCCTGGCACCGGGGACGCCCGTGAGGCACAGGTGAGGAAGGGGCGGGAGGGACAGCCCGGGGGGCTTGGGACACCCACTGTACCATGTTTCCGCTTCTGAGGGACACAGGCCTGAGCTCGATAAAAAGGAACTTAATAAAATATTTAAGGGTGAACACTCAGCTGCGAGCAGGAACCGTCAGCTAAAAATATTCTGTGGTGAACCAGCCACTGAGGAGCCGGGCTGGGGGGGGGGGGAGTGGTGAGGCAGCGGCCGCCCCCTCCCCACTGAGGGCTGACAAGTCGGGGGCCCACCGCTGGGCAGCGCTCTGGCTTTAGGGCTTGCCTCCACCTATGGACTCAGATTGTTCCAGAAACAGAATTCCAGGAGCAGTTCCTACCGGCGCCACCACTTTCCAAGTCCAGATGGCCTTTCCGCCCCATGTCCTGGCTTCCAGGGCCTATTTCACAATCACCCGCCTTCTCCCTGGGCCCCTGAGCAGGACCTGACGCCCCGCACATGTTCTGCTTTCTCGGAGGCTCAGACCAGATGGGGAGGCAGCAAACCAGCAGAGCTGGCGGCAGTGCTGCCGACGCACAGGTTCCAGAAGTATTCTTAGCCCATGTGAGAGAGAGGCCTGGGAACAGGCCCCCAGCAGTTCAGGGGGCTCCTGCCCCAGCCAAGCCCAGAGGTCGGGAGTAGGGAGGGGAGGGGAGGAGAGGGGTGGGAAGGCACGGCTGTCTGTGCTGAGAAAAGAGAGGAGGTGCGGCAGGGCCCGCCCCATCTGCCCACTCAGCCCCTGGCAGCTCTGAGCCTGCCTCCTCCCTTCCCTGCACCATCTCTCGACTTCCGCACCCAGCCTTAACGGGCCCCTTCCTCAGCGTGTCCCCACCACTGGGACATCTGGGCCCGGATCCTTTGCCGTGACCCCCTGGGTCCTGCCCTGCCAATCACACTCCCTCAGACCGAAGTCAGGACAGAGGCCACCTCTCTGTCTCTGGGCTCTTTTAGGAAGCCGAAGTCAAGGGCCTGGGCTTCGTTTCTGGGGACGCTACATTTGGCCCCACACAGCCGGTCTGCTCCCTGTTCACTCACTGACTCCTTAGTCTGCACTCATGACAGCACCACCCCCAACAGTGCTCTCCCTTGCTCTGGGAC